AGGCAGATGATTGCCAGCTTCTTTGGCATGAGTGTTTTGCACTCTACAAATCTGGAATTTGAAATTTAATTCCAAAGCAAAAACACCGGGAGGTCAGCATTTGAGGAGTTGATGGCGGGACCCGTTCCCTTGTATCACTCCATCTTCTACCATGCATGGAACAGTGTCCCTGCCTACAGAGAACTCAGCAGTAAGGCACCATTTTGGAAGTAGAGAGCAGCCCTTGCCAGCCGACTCTCCCTGCTGGTCCCTTGATCTTGGACTTTCAGTTTCCAGATCTACAAGAAACCAGCTTCTATTCTTTAAAAATGATCTAGGCTCAGGAAAAACAAAAACAAGGAAAGGGACAGGTGAGATGGCTCAGCAGCTAAGGTGTTTTCTGCCAAGCCTGATAGATAATCTGAGTTCCACCCCAGGACCCATGTGATGGAAGGAGACAACTAGCTCCCACAAGTTGTCCTCTGGTCTCCAAATGTACACTGTGGTACACTCTTGCCATGGAATACGTATGACACACTCACAAACACATGTAACTAACTAACTAGTCTTAGATGTTTAGTGATAACAGCACAACAGACTAAGATAGCAACATTAGGAAAGGAACCCACCAGTTTTCTGTTCATTCTGAAAAGCTGGTGAACTGAACCCAAGTCGGAGGTTTAAAGCCCAAAGCTTGAAGACATCTGCCTGGCCCATTTCAGTAAGACACGGTAGATCATCCTGGCGCTCATAGGAAGTCCGGAGAACTGGCCTCTGATGTCCTCAGACACTTCCTAGCCCTGGCTCTTCTTTCTCTTCTTTATTGGACTGTTTCTCAGCTGAGGCTCTGCTGTCTAGGGCCAGCTCAGATGTATGTGGAGTCACTTGCATCCCACAAAGCCTCGTGGTCCGTCTCTGAACAGACACAGCCACCAGCAGCAGCAGTTGGTATCTAGCTGAATATTTGGTTTCATCAGGAGACAGAGCTGCAGGCAAAGGGCAGTTTGAGGTGGAGAGTCTCATCTGGGGATTCAGCTGAGAAAGAGGTTGAACTCGACCTCTGCAATGATAGATTTTTCACTCCTGGTTCCTTAGAAGAGATAAACCAGAAGTGCATGTTTTTTCCAGGTTATTCCAGGTCCTGTCCCTGTAGGGGACACAAAGACCAAGCATCCCCCTCAGACCCATCTCCCAGTGTTTCTATACCAGCATGCCTACTCCAACACTTTGGAGATTGTCCCTACCTCTTCTCTTCCCATGCCTTGTGCAGTCTGTCTTATGCTTGTGTTCTCTGTCTCTCTCTCTCTCTCCCCTTCCCTCCCCTTCTCCCTCTCTCTGTCTCAGCCCATCCAGGGAACTTTGGTTGCTACCACCTCCAGCTTGTGAGAGGAAGGAGGATAATAAGGGTTCGTTTGTTTCCATAAAAAAAAATGCCTGGGCAAGTTTTTCAGCTTCAGCATTCAGAAACTTGTGGTGATATATTGTGTACCCTAATAAACTTGCATGAGGATCAGAAGACAGAGCCAGCCACTAGATTAGACATAGAGGTCAGGCAGTGGTGGCATACACCCTTAATCCTATCACTCAGGAGGCAGAGATCTGTCTGGGTCTCTGTGAGTTCAAGGCCACACTGGAAACAGAGCCAGGCAGTGGTGGTACACACCTTTAATCCCAGTGCTGGGAATCACACATGCCTTTACTCCCAGGAAGTGATGTCTGGGCAGAGAAAGGTATATAAGGCGTGAGGAAACAGGAACTCACTCTCTTTAGACTGAGGATTTCCTAGAGGTAAGAACTAGTGGCTGGCTGCTCTGCTTCTCTGATCTTTCAGCTTTCACCCTGATATCTGGCTCTGGGTATTATTATTATTATTATTATTATTATTATTATTATTATTATTATAAGACTGTCTAAGATTTGAACAACAGAAACTGTTGCAACTGTGACCCAAGGGAACAAGCTTCATCCCAAGCTGGCAGCATTACTTGGCAGTGTCAACCACTTGGTACTGATTTGGGAGACAAGAAAAGTACAAGACTGAAGGGGTCATGGATTCTTCCTTCCTGGTTTCAAAGAGCAGCTGAAGCCAGACAGTGTGGGGCAGGGTTGGGCTCCCTGCAAGGAGGCCCTGGTGTGAGGCTGTAGCAACGAAGTCTGGATTGCAATGGTGATCCCAAGATGATGGAGATGCCATAGCCATGAGCAAGCTGCCCAGGAGAGCTGCAAAGAGGGAGTGGAATCAGCCTGAGAGAGGGGAGAGGGGAGAGGAGAGGAGAGGAAAGGAGAGAGAGAGAGAGAGAGAGAGAGAGAGAGAGAGAGAGAGAGAGAGAGAGAGGAGAGAGACAGAGACAGAGACAGAGACAGAGACAAAGAGAGGAGAGAGAGAGATGTCAAGCAGCAAAGCTGGAGGGGAAAGTCATCTAAATCCTTCAAAACTGACACCTCAGATACCAGACACGATGTCGGTAGCTCACTGGAAAAAAATTTGATTCTGTTCATACTTTATGTTTAAGAGACGAGCTCTCCCTGCTGGCTGAGGTCCCCTCCTGGGGTCTCCGACCCACTTGACTGCACCCTGACAGATCAGGCCTTTTGTGACACTGACCACAAACGATGCCTATGCCAAAGGCGCACTGGTCCTGGGCTCGTCTTCGAGACAACAGACAACACAGGACAGCCAGGAGGATGGTTTTATTCACCAGCCCTCAGGTCTCAGATTCCATGAGAAAAGTTTTAGACTGTCTTTGATGACGTCATCATGGTAGACATCTTAGACAGTGGCAATTCTGCTCATCTAACTTTAATGAAGAGGCCTGAGTTGGGTGTCATACTGAGGAAACGCCTCGGCTGGGCACTTACACAGTATTCCAAATGTGTGTTCCTGGATGCAAATACTCTGGTCCTCACAAATATTGATGATCTTTTTGAAAGAGAAGAATTGTCAGCAGCATCAGACGCAGGGTGGCCAGGCTGCTTCAATTCTGGAGTCTTTGTCTATCAGCCCTCAGTTGAAATGTATAACCAGCCATTGCACCTTCCTTTTGAGCAAGGTGGTTTTGATGGTGGGGACCAGAGCTTACTGAGTATATATTTTAGTGGCTGGGTGGCAACAGATATCAGGAAACACCTGCCGTTTGTGTATAACACGAGTGGCATCTCAATATACTCCTACATCCTGATGTTTGAAGTGATTAGTGCAAATGCCAAAGTCATGCACTTCTTCGGATGAATCAGGCCATGGAATTATACCCACAGTCCCCAAACAAAAAGGGTCAAATGTGAATCCCAGGACCCCACCGTGAGTCACCCAGAGTTTCTGATGCTATGGTGAGACATCTTCATCACCAGTGTTTTACCCCTCCAACACTATGGCCTTGTCAAAAACGACTGCCCATATCTAGTATCTCAGGAGCCTTCTCACGCCTTCTCTTGGGGTGGGCCCAGCTACACCACAACTTTCTGTGTTCTCAGAAGGCAGGAGCAGTGGGAGCAGGGCCAGGCTGAATACACGGGAGCAGATTCTTATGATAACATCAAGAGAACACTTGACACTTACCTACAGTAGATGCACTGCCACGTTCCTGGGGACACATCCACGTCATAGGCACGTTTCTGATACGTAGTTTGTGAAGCGGGTGGAAAAGTCTGTTACAGTCACTAGAGCCTTTCCCTAAAACTCACCAAATGAGGGGTTTTGGCAGGATGACAGGTAAGACCCAGGGAAACATTATGAAGTAGTAATCCTGTTACATGGAGAGGTGCTCTGTTTAAGTCTAGACTTTTTCAGGAACTCTTCATTCTGCAGTTGCCACCACGTATGGTAAAGAAAAGCCCCCACTAAGTTGGCTCTCGAGTGGTGCAGAACTGACTGTTTATTTCCTTCAAAACAGAATGTGACATTGTCCCGTATTTGCATGTTGTACCCTTTACTAGACCTGCACTTCAGAATTGCCCAAAGCTTGTCAGGGAAGTAATTCCACTTCCAGGGGAAATTGGCCTTCATTAACACTGTGGACTGATTCATAAGCCTGCCCGCCAGTGTTAGTTCACCAGTTTCTATGCACCTCGAAGGCAGCATGCTGACTCGCTTTCGGTCACTTCTGTCTACTAGACAATTGCAATGTGGTCTCTGATGGTTACCGTTCAGTGGTACCATGTGTAACAAATAAAGGCATTAAAATAAAAAAGAATGAAAGGGTGACAAAATTAGCAAACAACAAAAAGAAATCCTATTTAAAGTACTATCAGCTTTCACAGTGCTATAAAGATGCATTCCTCATCCCAAGAGCTGGATTCAGTTTTGCTTTCGTCTAGTATTTTTGGTGCCATTCTTCACTTTTGGAATGTGAATATAGTTGTATGCTATTGTATGTTGGAAATACATAATTTGGCTTTTTAAAAATAATTTACTGGGATTCTCAGTTAAGAGATTGACTTGAGTCTTGGATGAGACTTTGACTTTTGAGCAATGTTGAGACTGCTGCAGATAATGGAGACTTTTGAAGTTGAGCTCAATGCAGTTTGTATGATGAGACAGCCATCTATGATGACCAGGAAAAGAATGTGGCATTTGAAAGAGCTATGTCTCCTACAGCCTTGTGTATTTGAGTATTTGGTTCCCAGATGGTAGAACTGTTTGAGGAGGTTAGCATTATAAGGTAAGGCCTTTCTGGGGGATGTCACTGAGAGCAGGCTTTGAGATTTTACAGCCTGGTCCCACTTCCACTTCCTGTTATCTATCTGTCTGTCTATCATCTACCTATCTATCTATCTATCTATCTATCTATCTATCTATCTATCTATCTATCTATCTATCTATCTATCTATCTATCTATCTTTCTATCTCTTATCTATCTCTTGTCTATCTCTTATCTATGTCTCTATGTCTCTATCTCTATCTCTCCTCCCTGTGTGTGAAATGGAATGGGATCTTTATGCTTTCTGACTTCCAAACTCTATCCTGATACTGTAAGACCCTTTCTTTCTTAACTTGCTTCTTGCTATGGTGTTTTGCGACAGCAACAGAATGCACTTACTGCACTCATCCTTGGTCTTGAGTCCTCGGTCTCCTTGGAACTTATGCAAGGAGGTAAGCAGTGGGATGGCCTCTTCTCCAGTGCTTCTTCCTGCCTGCCCGTCATCTCTATAGACAGAGAGTCCACGCTCAGTCAGTGCACCGTGTAGACCACGAGCTCTAGTCAGGCTCCAGTATCCAGCCTTCAGCCAGGATGTACCTAGTAGATGCTCAATATGACTTAGATGAAGGGAACTTCTCCTAAGCATTCCCACTTGTAAACCAGGAAAAGATTGAAGAAGACAGCTGTCATTTTGTGTGTAGGCTCAAGGTGACATGAAATTTGTTAAGTTTTTTTTTTTTTAAATCTTTCTCCTTAAACTTGATATCTTTTTAAATCATTGTCTTTTTTGTTTCTAATTAAAATATATGCAGATCATTTTCCCTCTTCCTCTCCTCCCTCCTACTCCCCCTGTGTTCCCCTTCCTGCTACCTTTCAAGTTAGTGGCCTCTTATTTTTTAATTATTATTGTTACACACACACACACACACGCACACACAAATACATTTATATGCCAATAAAATATAAATGCAAGATTGAAAGATGCTGGGTTTGTTTATCATTGCTTGTATGTGTATTTTTTTAGGACTGACTATTTGAGAATGGATAACTATTCTACAATACTCATCTCTGGGAAAGACCAATTCTCCTTCTCTCAGCATTTTTTAATTGCCCATAACTCTTTGTCTAGGGGTGGAGATTCATTTGATTTCCCCCAACCACATTAGCACATCAACTGGTGTCATTGTTCAGGTCTTGTTCAGCCGTATTGTTGAAATTTCATGGGTGTAGATTTCCTATAGTATCTAGAAGACAATCTTTCAGCAGACTTCCTGGTCCTCTGGCTCTTGCAATCTTTCCACCCCTTCTGCAACGTTCCGCAACTCTTAGGTGTAAGGGTTGTGTTGTGGATGTATCAATTGGGCCTGGGTACCCCAAAGTCATTTGTTCTCTTCATTTTACTAGTTGTGGCTTTCTTTAATGATTCTGTGCTGTATAGTTTTATGTCAACTTGACACAGTTGAGCAACTGGAGTGGAGGGAACCTCCACTGGAAAATGGAGATAAGATTGGGCTGTAGGCATTTTCTTAATTAGTGGTTGATGTGGAAGTGCCCTGTCCAATATGGGTGGTCCTAGGTTCTATTAAAAAAAAACAACAGACTGAGTAAGCCATGGGGAGGGAGCAAGTGAGTAAACTGCACTCCTTTGTGGCCTTTGCATCAGCTCCTGCCTCCAGGTTCCTGCCCTGTTTGAGTTCCTGGCTTCCTTTAGTGATGGACTACAATGTGGAAGCATAAGGTAAATAAGCCCTTTCCTCCGTAAATTGCTTTGGTCATGGTGTTTCATCACAGCATCTTCATCACTAAGACAGTCTCTGTCTTCTTCACAAAACAGCTTCTTTGATGAGGACTGAGAGCTGCACTTAACCTGTGTGTGTCTGAGTACAAAGATAGGAAGTTAGAAAGCAGTTAGGAATTATACTGGTTTAGGAAAGTGTCAGTAATAAGTTCTGTCAGAAGATCTGTGACCTCACAAGCCATTGATACTTGGCTAGGCATATAATATCAGACATGGTTTTCCTCCAGCTTACTAGGCCTTAAATCATTTTAGACAGTTGGTGGTTACTGCCAAGATGTAAGTGCCATTGTTGCCTCTTTAGGGATATCATACCATGCTGGTCATTGCTGTGGTTCATAGGTGTCATAGCTAAGTAGGAATATTGAATGTTTTCCTCCCTTGGCAGCTTGTGTGGCACCTTCTGGTATCATGAAAGCTAGTCTTCAGGAAGGAGGTATTTGGGCCACATCTAGGTTGATTCTTCTGAGTCCTATGTCTGAAATGTATGGTGTCTTCAGAAATAGAGACTTGCCCCTAACTTATGAGTGGAAACCTAAGGCAATAGCAACAGCCTATATTGTTCTGGAAATCTCTTAGACTCCTCTGACTAACAACAGGAAAGTCAGTCTCTTATGACTAGTACTGGGGTTTTTGTTAGACAGTCTACGCCTTAGGGAGAAAACAAAATACAAAGTATACTAAAAAGAAAAAAGGTGCCAAACAAGTACAATTATATTAATAAATAATAATTTATTGTGTTTTTATTTTATATTGACTCATGATATTTATTTTTTCTTTTACTTCCCAACAAGTAGAAATATGTTAAAAGCAAAACCCCTCACAGAAACACACGTGATACATCCACACCCAGTATGATAAAATCATTATTCATGCAATAACCATGACACTGAATGAGTGTGTAGTTTATCATTTATCAAAGAATGGAAAAGGAATCTTAAAGTAGTTTTTGAAAGATTATTCCTAAAAGGTAAATCTTCATTTAAAAACTTTTTTTAAGGAATGGGAAGTTTAAGAGAAAATTATAACCATTCCCCTAAAGCATCGGTATTTCAAAAAGAGAAAGAAGAGTGCAGAAGAGGAAGACTATTTTCCATAGTTTTAATGTTAAAAATAATTCTCTATAAAAAGAAGGTACATATTGCACTATAATTTCCAAAGGAGGCTTTCTTATCCACATTGTTGGATAGGTTCTTATCCACATTACTGTGCACCGGTAGCCACAGAGACAATAATATTGACAATTTAGTTATAAAGTTAATCTTGATGCAATCCAAGTTCAAATTTCCAGATATTTAATGTTTATTTCAAGGTATTTTAGGGACAAAAAATCAGGATATAACTTAAAAAAAATCTATTATCTTTTCTTTACAATAAAGCTTCTCACAGACTTGCTTTTCCCATGTAAGAGTTAGATCAGTGTAACATTGTCTGAAGCAATAAACATTACAAGTATATGACACCTTGAAGATACAAGTCAAATGGGCAATGGAGATCTTCCCAGCATCATTGGTGTTATGTGAGTGTCCATTACCCCAACTCCTTTCTCCCTCACATTCACAACTCAGAAATCTTTATTTTACACACACACACACACACACACACACACACACACAGGAGAGAGAGAGAGAGACAGACAGACAGACACACAGAGACACAGACAAAGAGAGACAGAGAGACAGATCTCTATATGCTTTGTTTTCATCTTTGGACCTTAAAAAAAAAAAAAAAAAAAAGAAGAAGCTAACTTCCCTCCAGAACGGACTGTTTGAGCTGAAAGGAAATTTCTGCTTAACACCCCTGGAGAATCCCAGCAAAGTCTTCTTAGAGCTCACATCCCTCCCCATTCATCAGTACCCGTTTCCCCAGATGAAAGCATTTCAGAATACAGTTCACTGTCTTGGAACTAGGGCAGCCGGTGCCTCTTTGCACCCTGCTACTTTTGACAATGGGTCCAGCTTTCTTGTGGAATTGTGCCACCCCAAAGCCCCATCCTCAGAAGCCTCAGTCAGAAACGTAGGAAATAACTAAATGAAGTGCCATTGAAAAAGGACTCAGACTAGCAAGCAAGTATCTTTCCTGGATAAGGACACCCACAATCGTTCCTCTGTGTGAGGATCCATATGTAACATGGCCACATCTCTTGTGTGCAGTTTTATATTGCTGCTATAAAAACCACAGTGTCTTAAAAACAGCACAAATCGATTGTTTTACAATTCCAAAGGTCATAAGCCTGACCTGAGGATCTAAAAGAGAACCTGCTTCCAAGGTGTTTCTATTCCTACCTTACCAACTACCAGCAGTCCTCAGTCCAGAGGCCTTTCCTCCGAGCATGTTTAGGGCAGGCAAGCATCTCTCTCTGGCCTCCAACTTCCCTCTTGTACGAACCAGGTGATGACACAGGTCCACCTGACAATACAGGATAATTGCCTCGGCTCAAGGTCTTCATCATTTCTGCAGAATTTCTTTTCTGTGAAAGGTAGCATATTGCCTAGGTCCCAGGGGTTAGGAGGTAGGCACTCTGGGGAGAGGCCTATTGATCTATCTGTATGTTAATTTGTGAATGCTAACAAATAATTCTGAGGTTTGTAGCACTATGAATGCTAGCCCTACAGGTGTCTACATGGAACTGAGAGGGAAGATAATAGCTTTCTAGTCTATGAATGCTGACATCTGATTTAAACAAACCATCCTTTT